TCTTTTTGCTGATCTATTATAGCTGTCCTTCAATAAAAACATGAAATATTTCATTAAATTTCTGTTTCGGTCGAAGCTTTTACTTTTTCAATTAATAACGGATTATGTAGTGTCAGTTTTTTTTTTTTTTTTTTTTTAATGTTTGAAATAGTTTCAATGCAATCATTATTTTTACTAATTTTTTTCATTCATCTGCATCAGCAACTAAAGCTAGTTATGGATTCAATCATTTGGGCATTCCGGCATACAGAAAGGAATATTGCAGAAACTGGTCTAAATCTTCTACTGGAGATGCTGAAAAACTTTCAGGTCTGACAGTGTTGTAGTTTTGCATGGTAGATGACTTTGTTGATGCAAGATGCTGAGTTTTTGGTTTTGGTACCTTGACAGGCTCCTGAATTTTGTAACCAGTTCTACCGGACATACTTTTTGACAATTGAGCAAGAAATATTTGCCGTCTTGACAGACACATTTCACAAACCTGGCTTCAAGTTACATGTCTTGGTTTTACAGCACCTGTTCTTCCTGGTAAAGTATTTTACTGTGCCTTGATTGTTCTCATTTGCATCAGTTTAATCTTTAGTTGATGAATTGTTTTCAGGTTGAGAGTGGTTTGTTGACTGAGCCCTTGTGGGATGCTGCTACGGTTCCATATCCATATCCAAATAATGGAACGTTTGTTCGTGAATACACAATAAAACTTCTTAGTACATCATTCCCCAACATGACTGCAGCTGAGGTATAATAACAGGTTCAGATCCAATCAATTCTTCTTTTATTTACTGAGTTGATATCACTGATCTATGTGGGTTTCAGGTCGCTCAATTTGTGAATGGACTATTTGAGTCGAGAAATGATTTGTCCACATTTAAAAATCACATACGGGACTTCCTTGTGCAATCAAAAGAATTTTCAGCTCAGGTAAAGCTTTGAAAGAGCAAAAAGGATCTTTGTTTATGAGCTTGTAAATAGATCTATGTTTATCATTTATGGAGTTTATTTAACTGTTAAGTTTAGTTAAAATTTAGAAGTTTCACTCTATGGCCTTTGATAGTATTAAATTTCCCATCTCTGTATGTGGTTTGCCATGATGAGCAAACTGATCATTTAACTGTACTTTCTGCAGGATAATAAAGATCTCTATGCAGAAGAGGCTGCTGTACAGAGGGAAAGAGAGCGACAACGGATGCTTTCTATCCCGGGTCTCATTGCCCCAAACGAGATACAAGACGAGATGTTGGATTCGTAGATGTGGCTAACTTTGCCTTGGTAGCTAATTTGTTATAGTTTGACTTGGGAGTTAAAGGTTGCGCCTTGGTTTTACCACCAGTATCCTTGAATGTAAAGCATTTTTCGCCCATTGTTTCTCATTTTAGCCGGAGCTCGCCATTTTTGTTGAAAATGGTGAATCACCTTTGCTGGTGCACACAGGCTTGGCTGCTGGAGATGCTGCCTATATGTCTATCGGTAATGTGTAGAATATTTAGGTGTTTAACGTAGGGATATATATATCCGATCTGAGTCATTGTTATGGGATTCCTACCTCCAGCTTGATATTTGTATTAATCAATGTGGTTGGGATGCAGTTGAGATGACTCTTTTTGAAGTATTATTGATTCATCCTAGGTTGAATGGGAATACTAACCTTGGGGGATTGTGCAGAATTTTTTTTTTCCTTCTGCTTTTTTTTTTTCAGTGTTTGGCCACAGCGCCTTGTCTTTGTTTATAGTTTCAAGTTAAGATAATGTACTTTTACTTCGTTATTAAATATATTAGTATCTTTTAAATCATGTTTCCGATTTTCTTATCCTCAGCCTGGAATTAAAAATCCACAAGTTTTAACCATTGGTAGAATTGCTTGCGAGGCTTCGTAAAAGACAACAAAAAATGGTTTTAATGTTTAGAAGTGTTAAAACTCTGTAGACTATGGATAACAAAAGTTTTATGATAGAATCCATATGAAGCTGGCAGCTATGGTGATTATGGATGATGTAAATTAATAATATTTGATGAACAATTTGTAAACAATTTGTTAATGTGTTTAGTTTTTATCTGTTTATTTTTATTTAATAAAATTAATAAATAATTATAAATAATATTTTAAAATTTATTAATTAAATAAATAGTTTGAATGTAATAAAATTTATTTATCTAACAAAGTGTAAAACGAATAATTTGTAAACAAATTTGATATCTTTTTATTTATATTTGTTTATTACATTTAAGGAATAATTACTTGTTTATTAAAATATCTGTCGTACTGTTTACACCCTACAAGAAATGTAATGTGGAAGTTGACTACTTGTTTGTAGAAGTCCCAGTCCCCAGTCCAATTCCCAAAAGTTTGCAAAGCAGACCATTCAACAATGAACGGGTGTCGGCATGTGCATCACTCGGTTTCACTTCAAAGTTCAAGCGACCAATCACTTCTATTTCTATAGAAAGCGTTGAAACCACCAGTTCCCATTGGTATGCCTTCTAATCATAACCAAGTGCAATATTTTACACTACTCATGACAATCATTCTTACAACTCACTGAAGAGAAGCACAATTTCTGCAAGTGTCCGACAAAAGGTTTGTTGGGATTTGGGATTATGAAGTTAATCTGTCATACTTAGACCAGCAGGAGTATCCAGAAGCATGTGCCAACCCCATGGTTTTTTTTTTTTTGTTAAACTTTCAATATAGGCATCTACTACTTAAACCATTGCAACACCATTTTCCAACCCTTGTCATACAAGCTCACAAATCACAACCTCTCTCACACAGCACAGCACCAATCTGACCAACATGCCTCAACTTGCTGACCTCCAAATCGCGGCTCTTGCCTTCCTCTTCTCCACCCTCGCTGCTCCACTCCTCACCATCATCAACCCCCTGGTCTCCGCTTCCCCAAACAATTTGTTTTCCTTCTTCAGCACTGCACATTCCAACAACTCTATCTTTTCCTCATACCAGCGAACTCAACCAAACGTTAAAGCCTATAACGTATCAGATGGGGTCCCTGAAGGCTATGTTTTTGTTGGGAAGCCTCAGGAGGACATTGAGTTTTTCATGAAAGTGGCGCCAGAGAACTTCAGGAAGGGAATGGAAGTGGCAGTGGCAGAGACAGGGAGAAAAGTGAGCTTGGTTACTGATGCTTTCTTTTGGTTTGCCAAAGAGATGGCGGAGGAGAATGGTGTGCCTTGGCTACCCTTTTGGACTGCTGGGGCTTGCTTCCTCTCTTCCCATCTTTATACTGATCTTATAAGGGAAAAATTAGGCGTTGGAGGTATATTTCCTTTCTTTTTCTTTTTATTATTTTGTAAAACACCTCCATTTTACCATGTTACAATCATATATTGGAAGGAACCCTTAATCATTGGTTTCAGAGATGGATTTACTTACATCTGTCTGTGTAAATCTATACAGGCATTGTTGGGCGAGAAGATGAAACCCTCAACTTCATTCCTGGAATGTCTAATGTACGCATCCGTGACTTGCCTGAGGGAATCCTTTTTGGAAACTTGGAATCACTCTTGTCTCGCATGCTGCATCAAATGGGCCAAGTGCTACCTTAGGCAGCTGCAGTCTGCATAAACTCTTTCGAAGAACTAGACCCTGTTATGACAAATGATTTCAAATCCAAGTTCAAGCAATACCTAAATGTTGGACCTTTCATTCTTTCAACACAACCACCATCAGTTCCTGATTCATATGGTTGCCTGAAATGACTTGACAAGCAAAACCAGCAACCGTGGCTTATATCAGCTTTGGCTCGGTTGTAACCCCACCTCCAAATGAACTTGTAGCACTAGCAGAAGCATTAGAAGCTAGCAGGGTTCCATTTATATGGTCCCTTAGAGATAAATTAAAGGTAAATTTGCCCAATGGATTCCTAGACAAGGCAAATGGTATGGTGGTTCCATGGGCACCCCAGATAGATGTGCTAGCTCATGGTGCTGTTGGGGTGTTCATAACTCATGGAGGTTGGAACTCACTAGTGGAGAGCATAGCGGGTGGGGTGCCAATGATTTTCAGGCAATTTTTTGCTGATCATAGGCTGAATGGAAGAATGGTAGAGGAGGTTTGGGAGATTGGTTTGATTGTTAAGAGTGGAATTTTCACAAAGAAAGAAATAATGAGTAGCTTGGATCTAGTTTTGGGACAAGAAAAGGGGAAGAAAATGAAGGAAAATTTGAGGGAAGTTAAAGAAGCTGCACAAAAAGCAGTTGGACCAAAAGGGAGCTCTACTGAAAATTTCAAGAAATTGTTGGATTTAGTATGTAGCCAAAATTATGCCTAGAATTGATTATCGAGTATAGTGTGCGGAATTGTAAGCTTTTATGTCTCGGATGTAATGTTTCAACCAATGACTTCCAATCCAAGTATCTGAAGCATAATAATTGCATGTTGTTTTAAAATACTAAATGTGTTGTTCTCTATTCATTCATATCCGCGAGGTAATTAGTAAAACAACACCAGCATCCCTGAATGTAAATATAACTTGGTTTTTATATCAATCATAGAGATATACATTCTTTTGATTCAAAATTTTCATAATTTTATTTTATAAAAAAATTTTATTATTATAAATTTAAATCATTACATATATATTATATTATATTTTATAATTTTTTATTGCGAGAATGGGAGCATTATAATAATTATCTCAACCTATGAAATGAATGTGAATTATGAGATTTTTTAATCTTGAATTTTCTCGCATAGCCCGAAGTTACTCCTAATAAGTTGAAATGTTTAAGGCAGAGCTTGTTGAATTTGGGCCGTACTTGCCAAAGATGAACAGAGTCTGGGCTCCCTCATGCCCATCACCTATTTTTAGATAAAGCCTAACAAAGATCCATTCTTTGATTTATTGTTAATTTTTATTCCAAAATAATTTTATTTTTAGTGACATGAATCAGTTATAAATTGTTTTTTAACAAAATTGATTTGTTATACGAAATTTCTTTTATTTTTGTTATGAGTGCGTACGTAAGGCTGGTCTGACTTCAGCTATTTTGCATGATAGTTCTACCCAAACCCAACCCACCCACATTGCTCGCCTTCTCACAGGACTCTTTAAAAGCCGAAACACTGCTTCACCTGCTACACAAATATATATATTTATCGCGCAAACACTTTTTTTGCATACATGGATCATTCAAAGAATTCTTGTATGGGAACTTCTGCCATTGTTTTTCTCCTTTTAACTGCAGCTCTCTGCATTTGTCTATGGTTTCCTTCAAGATCTAACCCTTTCCTCCCTTACCAACGAAGCAACCGCCCAAGCTCTAATTCTGTAAGTATAAATTATTCCATGCATGATATTATTACTATTATTGATTTCTCTCAACACTAATATTATTGGTGTTGAAACTGATCATTCAGGGAAAAGACGAGCTTGATTTAGCGTTAGAGGATGCTTCCATGCCGAACAAGACCGTGATCATTACAGTTGTGAACAAAGCTTATGTTGAGCAAAGTGTTGACGAAGAAACAACAATGCTGGACCTTTTCTTGGAGAGCTTTTGGTTCGGAGAAGGTACCAGACCACTGCTTGACCATCTGCTAGTTGTTACCGTCGATCAAGCTGCCCATGAACGGTGCAAATTTAAGCGATTGCATTGTTACAGATTGGTGACGGAGGGTGTTGATTTTGGTGGGGAGAAGGTTTACATGTCCAAGGACTATATCAAGATGACATGGAGAAGGACTCTTCTTCTTTTGGATGTCCTCAAGCGTGGCTACAGCTTCATTTTTACGGTACAAAATTTTCCAACTTTGTTGATTTTAATGCTAGCTGTTAATTATCTTGGAAATTATTCAGATGAAATTTTTATCTAAGTGAAGTTATAGTTTCGGTATTCTACTATAAAGGGATTTAATAAAAATTAATAAAACTTGTAAAATCAAGTCATGTATATCTTTAAATATTATATAATTTCAATTTTCAACAAATTTAATGGTATTTTTTTAAATAGACATTTTATTCTTAAATTCATTTTATTATTTGAACTTTAATAAAATTTTTATGTAATTTTTTAAAATTGAATTGATGTCACTTGATTTTTGATACCAAACTCAGTTAAAGTTTTATAATAGTATAAATATAGATATTATTTATTTACTTATTTAACCCACTTTATTCAATTATTTCTAATTAAGAATTCTACAAATTTACTTAACTAAATAACTCCATTTAAATGTTGAACTTTTTAATACTATTTTAGTTAAGACTTAGAGTTCATTTAGGATGGAACATAGCTATCATGCATAAAGCAACACCAATAGATTCATTTTTACTTCTATAAAATTTCTCAAAATATTATATATATATATATATATATATCAATATTTAGAGTTTGAACAACTTTAAGTAAAGTTTTAAGATTTTATAAACGAAATTAATAAGATAACATGTTTTTATTATGCTATATTTAAAATAAATTTTAATTAAAAAAATGATATATGTATTAATTTCTTAACCCACTTTATATACTAACTCATAGATTATATAGATTTGGTAATGTTGCTTATAACTCATAATGTTTGCTCATTCTATTAGGATACAGATATACTTTGGCTAAGGAATCCATTTGCAAAATTAAGTCCAAACCAAATGAAGGACCTGCAAATCAGTGTTGATTCATTCATTGGTGACCCTCGACCGGAGCATAATTTCATCAACACAGGTTTCTATTACATCAAATCAAACAACAAGACAATCTCATTGTACGATACATGGTATTCCCAAAAGGATCATTTCACAGGGAAAAACGATCAACAGGTCTTGCAAGAACTAATGCATGATGGGCTCTTCACCCGACTGGATCTCCAAGTAAGGTTCTTGGAGACGAGGCATTTCAGTGGTTTTTGTCAAGAAAGTCGAGATGTCGCCACGGTAACCACTGTCCATGCGAATTGTTGTCGTCACATAAGCGCAAAGTTTGGAGATCTAACGGTGGTTCTCTATGACTGGAAGCGATTCAAAGCAGCCATGACTAAACATCCTGCGGATGCGGATAATATAATCAGAGGTTTCAAATGGTCAGCACATACCGGATGTAAGAACTCCTGGAAAGAAAGATAATAAGTTGAGCAGACTATATCAAAGTCAACAAAGGTTTAATTATTATAGATCTTACTTAAGTTAGCTTTTAAACTTCAATATGGATCTTTAATCTTTATTGGGAATGTTTTTGCTTTCGTTTTGAGTGGATATATATATATATATATATATTTCAATTTTACTTAAGAAGGATTTTCTTTGTTTCTTACTGACTATCTTCGTCAACTACATCTTTTACGTCGAGATCCAAGCACATATCACGTCATGTGACTTATTTCTTTTCCTTAACCGTGCAATTAACATCTTGGATTTTAGCTTCCTTTTCTCAACATGCATTATTCTCTTTGATCTTCTTTTGTGAATAGAATACATGTCTTTCGCTTGAGTTAAAGTCAATGCTATAATGAGCTATCATCTTCTTTCGTAATTGAATGCTCCTTCAACTTTGTAGTGAAAACAAATGTGGTTAGTCCCATAGCTTCTCTCAAATTCCTACCAAGTGGAGTATCAAGACCATTCGGACTGACCATCTGATCACTTGTGTTAGAACTCAAGGACTCGGTGTGATGTTAGTTGAAAAATTGAAAAATTCTCTGCCTTTCCATGGAAAAAGCTGGAGATAATTGGTTGATTTTTTTGATAACTTTTTCCTATGACAAGATGATAAAGAACACCGAAATTTTGTAAAGCGGAAGGACTAATTGTATTAATTGTAAACGACCATCATAAGATAATCTTTTGGAAGTCCAGCTGTTAATCCTTCCAGCTATTTTTTGTATTAAGGGACCACAATGCTTTTTTCTCAAAATCAATAGTCTCTTAATTTTCGATTAAAATATTAAACTCTTAATTTAATAGTTAAAATTCAAATCTGATAATTTAATTGTAAATATTTTAAAAAAATTAGATTTTTTAAATTATAATTTTCAATTGACGACAAATTAAGTCTTAACCATTCATTTAGTTCCATTAATTATTATGAAAATTTTAGGTTTTAATATTTTATTTATTTATTCTTTTATAAAGGATATTTTAATTTAAAAATAAAAATTATAAAATACTAATATTAAAAAGTTAAATTTATTAAATAGCATCATCTAAAATAGTAGCATGAATTAAGCCTTGAATTTGTTGTAATAGATCGATTACTAGCATACCCCTTAATTGTTCATATAGTTTCTAATTTAGTCATCAAATTTTATCGATTTACCAATTTTTTATGATTATATTATTTTCTATTTAATCGTTTTTAATGAAAAGTCGTATGAAATTTACCTAATTAAAATCTTTATGTAAAGTTTTGTCTAAAACGTATATAAAATGCTAAATAAAGAGATAATTAAAGCATTTTAAAATTAATATGAAAAAAATGTTAAAAAAAAATAAAATAAAATTTAGAATTGCCCTTCCGTCAAAAGTTGTAAAAGGAGTAAACTGCATAGCCCGTATTCCGCCCGCTTCTGTTCCATTTCACCACGAAACATCTTCGAAATAAAAGAAAAAAGGAAAAAAGAAAAAGCCAAAAATCAAAATCATCCTCCCTTCTGTTCAGCAAACAAACGCGACCTTTTGATAATCCAAATTTCTCAGCTTTTTTTGTTAGAGAGAAAGAGAAAAAAAAAAAAACGAAAAATTAAAATCAGAAGTCAGTTGTTTTTTTGAAAAAAAGAGAAAGAATCGAAAATTAAAAAGGCATGGGTCAAGCTTTTCGTAAGCTCTTCGATACCTTTTTCGGTAACACAGAGATGAGGGTATTTTTCTTCTCTCTATTTATTTCTTTTGTTTGTTAATGATTGACTATTTCTATTTCTTTTTATTTTTTAACTGAATTTTCCATCATCGTTAGGGTTTTTTGTTTTGTCCGATTTTTCCGGTTTATAATTAATGTAGAATTGAGGAAATTCCTTACCATTGTTATTGCTATAGCTTGAAAGCCATAAAAGACGATGTAGTTTGCTGAAGATCTAATCTCCAATTGACTTATGTTAGGAACTGCTCAAAGTTTTCTCTAATTGGTTAGTGATATGAAGTTGTAGATGTCTGTAAATTTAGCTAAATCTTTTCATTGCTTTTCACTAAATTGTGTTAAAAAAAAAAAAAAATGGGATCAACCTGTGAACTAGAAAACCTTTATTGTATTAGGATTTTTTGTTGCAGGAAAAATTTGTCAGTTCTGGCTGTTTTAAGGAATGTTTTTGTATCATATAAAAACGGTTGTCCATCGTGTCAGAAAATCAATTTTTTGTTGCTTCCATGGCATGGGAGTGGCAAAGACAGGGTTTTTATGTCATAATTTGAGTTGAATGATGCAAGTGTTTACATCTATTACCTTGCTGGTAGAAATGAAAATCATACCAGATGTCTTCGCTCTTTCAATGTTTGCCATAGCTAACTCTGGCTGGAGTGACATAAATGAAAAACAGACCAACAATTGGATGGTTTTGCCATTAATATTATTGAGCATTTAGAGTAAGTTAACTCACCATTTTTTTTTTTTTTTCACTCTTGGCAAGGCTCAGCATGTTTACCAGCGTGCATGACTTACATTTGCTCTAGTTTTTATATTCTATTGCTAATAGGACATGCAATAGATAATGCAGAACTAGAATATTTAAAATTGGCAGACTGTTTCATTTGTTGAATCCTGTATGCATCTATTTATTGGTTATGTCTTTTAAATTGGTCAATGTATTGGCAAAAGTCTTCTCGTGAAGTAAAATTTTTTAATTTTATGTTGTCTTTTTTCCCCCTTCAATTATCTAGTTGGATGTAGTAACAAGAAATAATTAAATGTTGTTGATTAATTGTTGTTCGGTATAACTAGTGCATCAAATATTCTTGGCAGTTCCTTGCCATTGAAGATGATAACAAACCCATTAACCCATATATTCTAACCAATGAGAAAGGAATCTTAAAGCTGTTTCAATTTATCTTTTGAGCGGTTGTCTTATCTGGAAAATGTATATTTATTTTTGAATAAATTTCTGAAATATTTATCTTAAGAATCTGTAATTGTGAAGCATGAAGTTGTACTAAATGCACATTGACTTCATTTAGGTTCTGATGCATTCCTAAAAAGGATTGTAATATCCATACATGCTTTATTATAAGCTTATTATGTGGTGGAATTATATGTGATTTACCATCGGGAATTTATTAATAGCATGTTTACTTGATATTCTGCATTGCCATTGCTTGTTATGTGGTGGAATTATATGTGATTTGCTATGGGGAATTTATTAATATCATGTTTACTTGATATTCTGCATTGCCATTAGACTATGTTGGAGGATCTAGAAATAGTAAATAGTGCTTCGTATTATTGACATGAGTACGATTGAAGTCAAACAGTGGCTTAGTTTTCTCATTTTGTTGAAGTTTAGGTGCCACGACAGATATTTATAGATGAATCAAACATGTAATGAATTATATTTTTTATCAGCTTAAATTAATATTGTCCACTTTTTTAAAATAGAGGCAGTGTTTTGATATGAGTTCACTTTAGAATCTAGAGTCGAAGCCAGTGCATTGCTGATAAATTAGTATATTGTTTTTAACTTTCTTAATTTAAGCAGTAGCGTATTTCTCATGTCTTTTCTGTGCCACATGTAGTATTATTTTATTATTATTTATGCCAGCCTATTTATTGAAGGCTCTTCTAGTTTATAAGTACTCTTATACTTAGACACAAGTGCTGTTGACTTTTTCATTTAACTTTATATTTTCCTCTCTTATGTGTAATTTTTTCTGGATCTGGCTTAGGTTGTGATGCTTGGCCTCGATGCAGCTGGCAAAACTACTATATTGTACAAGTTGCACATCGGAGAAGTTTTATCAACAGTCCCCACTATTGGTAGGTAACTTATCTCATAACAACTTGATTTTAAAAATGGTTGATTACACGATTGAGGCTCTTGTATTTTGCTGTTTTTTTGGTCCTCTCTGGAGCTCTTGACAGTACTCTCTTCTTTTTTTCTTCTCATTATAAATATAAATAGGTTTTTATGATGATATTCTTGCAAAATGATTGGATCATGTTTTGTTGATTTGTTTATCATGTATTTTTGCGTTGTTTTTGTTGTTTGTCACATTCTCAGCCTTTCTTTGATAAAAATGACATGCAAGGTGCCACTTCTGGAAGGCCTAAAACCATAATAGTGAAACTAATTATTGTTTTGCTTTTGAAAATGCAACCCTTGAAGATTTAAATTTTAATGCTTCATAAAACTAGCAAACCTGTCCAACTGTACTAGTGGGTCCTTATATCCTTTACTTTGGTTGGATGCTCTTGCATCTATGAAAAGACTGCTCTTCCTGGTTGGCCCAAATCACTATAAAATGGGATTGCATGATCTAAGGAAATATTATTATTCAATAGTTTTTCACCATGTCCACTCGGCCTGTGTTGCTGATTAGTTTAGACTTACGTGTCAATAGCAAGTTTTAGCTTATTTACAAAGTTTCCCTGTGACTGTGTCATGCACCAGCTTTCTATTGCAATATGGTTGTTGTCTGGGACAGAGATGGCGCTTCTCTAGCCTTCTTCATCATAGGCTTTATGTGAACCAAGTGGTTGAGTTGTGTGAACTTTGATTCAGTGTGTATCAGATATTATCATTGATTAGTTTTTGTTTGTCCTAATTCCTTTTCCTTGTGTAATCTTTGGAATCTGTTTCTTTTTCTCAAAGTTTCTTCCTGACGTATGTCATGGATTAGTTTTCTGGTCTTATTTCATTTTCCTTGTAAAATCTCTGGGATCCTTATCTTCTTTTTTTTTTTGAAATTTCTTCTTGGCTATAAATTAGATGTTATGAAATTTTCTCATGAGGTTATAAAAGTTTATATGAAAACTGAGTTCTTGTTGTTATCTCCTCCAGGCTTCAACGTGGAGAAAGTCCAATACAAGAATGTGATGTTCACAGTTTGGGACGTTGGTGGACAAGAGAAACTAAGGCCACTCTGGAGGCACTACTTTAATAATACAGATGGACTGGTGATAATTAGCCCTCTCCAAAAAAAAAAAAAAGAAAAAGAAATATCTTTTCTCCCTTTAATGTTTCTTCTGATTGATATCAATATGTGCCATTTATTGGTTACTTAGATTGCAAAAGCCTAGATTGCAAATGCCTCCTAGCATATCAATATTAGACATATTCCCTTTTATCTTAGAGCTGCTCTTTCTCCTTATTTTTCCATTTTATATGATTTGTTTTATTACATAATGTTTTCTTTTGTTGTCATTTCAGAGGGAAACTTGTATTTTTTAAATTTGAGAGATTAGGTACAATGTCAAACTAGGAGGTTTTTTATAATTTCTATGTTGGTTAATATTTCTCATCCTTTTGTCAAAACTGACAGATTTAATTAGTTAAATTGTTTGTGTTCTTCACTACTGATTGAAAAGATAAGCGCATTCATATCTCTCTCTAATATATATATCTGTGCAGATCTATGTTGTCGATTCCTTGGACCGAGAGAGGATTGGCAAAGCTAAACAAGAATTTCAGGTTGTAAAGTTATAACATACTCAAACTTGTTAGACATTTGGGCTTAACACTGTCTCATTTTTTTTAGTATTCTTTCAGACTATCATCAATGACCCGTTCATGCTCAACAGTGTCATCTTGGTGTTGGCCAACAAGCAGGACATGGTATGTTTTCTATTAGTGGTTTTAGATCTATGTCTTTCTGTGTATACTGCAAAATGCGAGTGGTATCTGCAAGATGAACTATGGAGAACACAGGCATGCAATTTTGAGCAGTCTGACATAACAGTCTCTTGGATATTTTAGTGTTGAAAAGGGATTCTTGTCTTTTCATTTGCTTGCTGTTTTGTCTTAAGTGTGTTTTGCTTTCTTACATGTAATGAAAAAGTTATTAAAAGAGCCAAAACATTGAAGGTCTTCTAAAGTGTCAGACTATAGTCCTCCTTTTTGTTATATACTTCTGGATCAGCAAAAGATTAATAGCAGCAAAGAAACTGAACTTTAATAGTATCTATGATTGTAACATATGAAGAAAATAGTACTATTGCATGTTTTTGTGTATAGAAAATTATGTTATTTATTTATGCTATGAGCTCTTAAATATCATTTGACATGTCTGATTATCATAATCAGGTTGCATCTTACCTTTGAATAAAGATTTAGAACAAAATGTTGCCTCATTGTCCATTATTGGTAAAATATGGCTTTCATGTGTAGCTGCATGTTTGATGACTTAATTTATTGACAATGTAATGTGATACCTCTTTATTAGCCCTTCCATCCCCTTCCTTTTTTTATCATTAACAATTTCTGTAGAAAAGGTGTCCAAATTATGACTCAATAGAATATTCCTTAATGAATGATCTCATGAGCTGGAAATCCCTAACCCAGGGGTCCACCCTTAAGTTGTTTCTACTTGAAGAAGTGCATCATTTAATTGCCTCATTGCCCATTATCTATAAAATATGGCTTTCATGTATAGCTGCATGTTTGATAACTTCATTCATTGTTTATCTTGTGTTCTTGTTTCCCATCGCCCTTTTTTCTTTTTTAACATTAAAAAATGTCCAAATTATGAGTCAATATGAGATTCCTCAATGAATGCTTGTATGAGTTGTAAATCCTTAACCCAGGGATCCTCCTCTGACATGTTTCAACATTGAAAAAGGCATCATTTTGTCATTGTCTGAAAACTGTTTTTGCCTTAAAATTGTCCATCTGAGAAATTGCAGCATGGGTGCTTAGCTTCCCTGGACTAAACACAATTCAATGTTGCTTTTGGTTGGATGAAATTATGAAACACAGGAGTCTTTTCAGTGTTCTCTGCTAAGAAGCAATCAGCATATAAATGGACCAGGTTGTTGTGAGTGTCCTATTAGTGCAGTTTGATTAAATTATTATGGCTGTTAGGAGTATATGTTGTGGTCATGCATAGAATAATGCAGCATTTGAACCAAAAGGACTTCTTTAAGAGTGCTTGTTATGTTTGATCAGATTGTAGACTGTTAGGATTTCTTTTTTTTTTCGGATGGTTAGAACCGACTAGGCTGGAGTGTGGTTGATTGCTGTAGCTTTTATGTGGTTGACTGCCAGTCATGTCAAGTGTCAACTTTAGGACATTAAAACCTGTTATAATAATTTAGCCTACAAGTTATTCATGTGATATTAGCATGTTTCTGTATCCTTCTGAAGATATTTTGCATCAATAGTATAAAGTTATTCATGTGATCTTTGTATGTTATGTATCCTGTTAGGGTCTTCTTGATAATACTATTTCCCACCTGTGCTGTCTAGTATTTGTTTCACAGACTTCCAAATGTTCGTAAGATATTGTGATGCACTCTGTAAATGATGCTATCCAGGATTTCTCCCTAATTACTCTGAGCCATGCATCCTGCCACCAATGTTTTCAAGTTATAACATGGATATCTAGTTCCCTCTAGTTAACCTGCATGTACGTCTGTGTTGTTAGATTGTCTCAAGTCAACTGCATCAGTGGCTTTCTCTTTCCTTCTGTTCCTTTTGGCACAATATGGACATATTTAAATTATGGCTAGGTTCTGAGGGAGCTTGTAGCCTCTTAAATGAGGCTTTATTCTAAGAAATTGGGTTAAATAATGGATTTTCCGGAATTGGAATTCTCCCATGGCAATTAATACTTAACCAAACTACCCAAAATGTATATAGAAATATTTTATTGTGAAATTTCTTGTATTTTGGAGAAAGTGGAAGCCATGAAGTTAGAGCATAGGCTAATGCAGACAAGGAAGTTTGTAATCAAAAATTGTCACTTCCCGGCTTAAAATTCAGTGTTTCTGTTGTTTTAATTATTTATTTCTAGGTGTGCTTTCACACTGAATAGTATTTCAGTTTGGATGATGAGACAAGCTATTGAGTTTTAGAAATTTGTCTTTTGAAGGTGATCAAGTTGTAAAGACTAAATTTTCTTGGGTAGCAACTTTTAAATGACTGATGAAATAGGTGTGCACTATTAACCTAGCAATACCAATATGCCTCATATTTGTTTTGTTTGGATTTCTTGATGTTATTCTTACATCTCTGCTAATAATGTAATGTGGAGATTGTGTGGAGATGTGTCTCTCTGTTTCTATGCATCAATATCTAATGTTTTTAATAGTCATCATTTTAATTTTGTTTTTGCTTTTGTTCTTATCTCCATCCAATTGTTTAGGCTGTTATTATGTTGCAGATGAAAAGGGCTAGTTCTTTTCTCCCTCTTCCTTACTTTTTTTTTTTGGCTGGATATCTAAGATGAACAGAGCAATCTTCAATAATCATCTTTTGTGCTTGCCAGTTGAAGTGAATCAGCTATTATTGTTTTTGTGTCCTTGTACTATGATGTGTACATCAAAGTTTCGTTGCAGAAAATGTCTTTCATTTTTATCTGATTTTGAGTTTTCTCGTTCCAGAAAGGAGCAATGACCGCAATGGAGGTATGTAACGGATTAGGCCTTTTTGATCTGAAGAACAGAAAATGGCACATTCAAGGTACTTGCGCACTTAGAGGGGATGGCCTCTACGAGGGCTTGGACTGGTTAGCCGGAACTCTCAAGGAGATGAAAGCTGCTGGATATTCATCATCACTGGGTTCATCATCGTTCTAAACATAAATACAGGTTGGAAGTCTTTTTATCGCCTATATGGCATTAAAACGGATCTTGATGATGAGAAAATAAACCATAATGACTTCATTTAATTTCTCAGGTACATTATCGGAAGCATTGAAGCTTGTAAGCCGTGTTTAACCATCGGGATGTCCGGAATTGTAATCAAAGTTTTCTTTGTTTAGTGAGTCTGAAGCTGATGAAGTTTTTTACTAGGGGTGCTTCCCTTCCGCTGTTTGTGGCACTTAGACAAATGAATTTGTCCAATGTGTATATTAAAAGGCAGGCATTACTTCCAATGAAAATTGTTAACTCACCGGGGATATTTTGATTGACACTTACTCTTATATGTGAAGTGGAAAATGATTGTTAATTATCTCTCATTTTTTAGGTTTTTGCTGCAAATGTTGATCCAAATAGTAGAAACAAAAACATGAAAAAAAAAAAAAAAAGGGATTCTAAATTTAACTAATCTAGATTTCATTTCTGTAGTTTAAACAATAAACACTTTCTATAACAATTTATTCAAATAAATTCTTGCGGTTGCCCTTGCAAATGAACCAAGATGATCCAAGCTATGCCTTATTTAAACGTTGCTTGGTTAATATGTTTCTGTAAGCTTTGCACGAACATGAATGTATCTCATTTCGAGCTCAAAGGATTTTTGCTTAAAACTTAAATATGTTTTTTGGCAAAAAAAACTTAAATCTGCTAAAGCATGCTTGGCGTAAACTTATGCACTCATCTATTTGAGCTTTTGGCATATCATGATGCTGATTCACTCTTTTATATTTACTATTAATATTTATTTGGATACACAATTGATATTCGAGAGCTGAAGAACACCGGTGCAACTCATTGTCAAGAGGTTAAGAGAGTGCAGGAAATTGACAGAGACAGCAGCTACCGGGGGAGATGAAAGAGATGATTAGATTTGAGACTTTGAAATTTCATTCTTTAGAAAGGCTCACAAGCTTTTGCCAAGGGAAATTTGCCTTCCACTTCCCAGCCAAGGAAAATGTGATTGTGGAACATTGTCCCAATATGAATAGCTTCAGTCAGGGAAAGTTAATCGGGGGCAAGTTTAAGGTAAAACCTAGAAAAGGAAAGGGAAAGGGCATTGTACAGATGATCATAATGCCAGCATTAACATGCTCATAACTTTTGATAGCTAAACTGAAGAATCAAAATAACACGTGATAAAAAGGGATAAAACAGTATCAACCCAAATGATAGATGGATGCAATGGAGGCAACTTAAAAACTACTAATATAGTTATTGCTTTTACCACCTCAAAAACATTTACCAACATCCAATAAAATGTTGCCAGGAGATGAAATTATTTTATTTGCTGCCACTGGCTACCATCAACCCTGTAATGCAGATGCACCCAAGCCAAATAACAAAATTCTGTACTGAAAAAAAAAAAAAAAAAAAGGTAACAAAACTATTGCTCTGCACAGCCAGCGTGATGGTTGATGATGACAAAAAACGAGGTAGGAAATCTGCATAATTTTTTCACCAATCCAGAATCTGCCATTAAGCTCCATCATCAGCCTGATTATCCGTGGAACATTGCGTGCTAGCACAACCCGGTAGAGCACTTACTTCGTGAAGAATCCCTAGCAGTTAGATCAAGGTCAATTTCCTCAGCAATGATCGTTGGCAGCTTTTGTAGTAATCGTTGCTGTTCAGATGATTTCTTAAGCTTTTCTCTTTCATCCAGATATTGATCTAACGTATAAAATCAGAGGAGGTTAAGGTCCAACCATTCATTGAAGATGGCAGAGAACCTGAACATTTGGACACCTTATACAATGTGCACTACCTACTATCAAACAATATTTTATACCAAACAAAAACAAAATTTATCACTTACAAGGAGGTGCTAATCAGAGGCAATCCTGTAGAAGTCTATATGGAAAAGTTTGATCAGAAAATCAAGTAAACAAACTGGATTCTCCCAGAAGAAAGTTTGAAGAGTTGGATTTCGTGAAAAACATGTTTAAAATTTTTAATTACCAATTCAAGAGAATTCAAGCTATTGGTAGTTACCAAGCATTCATTACAATGGCAGATTATGAAGTGTAGCTCAACACCATAAAAGGATATATGTATCTCAGTCCCTTCTCATTTGCAAAATCAATTTTTTTCTGCAAGCTGACCAATTGTCTTTGAATCCACTGGCAACAATATTCCAAATAACGCAAAGGACAATTAGAGAAATCTACAATAAAATCATTAGTAATAAGAAAAGTGCAATGAAACATAAATAGATACCAATATTATTCAAGTGGAATGAACCATAAATAGATACAGATATTATTCAAACACCTATCCCTAAATGTGAATCAAAACCAAATTGATAAAAGAACGAGTTTTCATTAATCATGAGTATGATCAATGTAAAGAAATGATAGCAAACATAAGTTCTTGGGTGAGAACAAACATATGAAAGTATCTATTTCAAATTAATTATTCAAACAGAACATCCTTTCAGTTATTCAAACAGAACATCCTTTTAAAGATAGTTCATCTTATATATATACCAGCAAAAAGGTCTAACATGTCCTTAATCATCACCCCCTCCCTCAATCATGCACATGCATGCACACATACACCCACAGTCCACAAAAACAATAACCGAGTTCACACAAGTAGACAGTTACAATAAAGTGCAAGCATACTGTTGTAAATTCATTCATTAGCATCTGCATTTATTCCATATTTCATACTGCAAGCCCCAAGAGATAATCAAGTGATCAAACCTCCTAATATCATACAGCCAAGGTACAGGGAATAGAAATGCAAATGAAAACATATAACATTTCTAAAGCATATCAAGAGAATCAGAATGATTACATATCCTTACATTCTTTGTTATATCTTCATGCAGACTTTTGGCCTTCTGTTCGAGCTCCACCTTCAATCAGAATACTCTGGTTAAATTTTTCAATGACCTGTTTCCCTTCTTGCTATGAATTTTAATAGATCCAGATTCAATAAATATTAATGGAAATAAATAGGAAGCCAACTCAACACAAAATCTTAAACTTTGGTGGAAGGGAATAACATAGAAGAATATATTACAATTTAAGTGGTTCACACATTAAACTCACATCCACAAAAGAAAAGTATTTCATCTTTCTCATCAACTGCTCTCAAAACTGTAAAATGGTAAGTGTAACTGTAAATAGTAACTTAGTGATTAATAATCCAGATCTTGAGGTTAATATCCAAAAAGCATATGCCTATCTTTAACATCGAGCAACAGGAGGACTGAAACAGCCCTCAACAAGATGCACAATTGCAAGAACTGTCATCAGGGATGGATTAGAAACACCAGTACATCTCTTTTACCAATTGTCAGATTGTATAAGAGAGAACTTGATGCACTTATTAGCAATAACTTTCAACCTTCAAACATGTTTAAGGAAAAAATATCAAATTGCAAAGTGGATAAGCTTTGCACAAAAATGTTTCACCCTTGGGTGGAAGCGAATGTTCTAGGCTTCTAGCATGGAAGAGCATTGTCCAAGTTGGAAGAAACGAAAGTCCTTTTAAATCAAAATAAAATGATTTTTCACAGCTGCCTCCTAACAAAGTGCAAAGTTTTGCTAGGTGTTCTTTTTTGATTCTTTAATCAATTATCTATCCTTTTAAATGAATTCTTTTTAACCAATTGTTAAGTTCAGCATCACTTATACAAGTAACAACTCCAGTACCATTTTATGCCAACATTTCCATTCCTAGTAGTTCTAAGAATGGTACCCTTTAAGTAAGGTTACTAGTACATTAGCATAGAGACTCATATAAACATACAAGTACTAATCACTCATAAAAGGTAATCAAATAAGTTGTTGTTTCTAGTAAAGTAAGAGTTTCTCACATAGGAAATAACTTACAACTGTCGGTTTTTGGAGAAGACCATCTTTCATCCTCTGTTGCAGATCTACACATTCCTCCTGCTAACACAACACTATGCAACTAAGCACACAATGCAGGTGCTAACCAAACATCACAAAAATAAATAATCTAGTCTGGAGATTTCTGAACAATAGTGTCCTCATTAACAGAAAATATATCTGTAGAATCAAATTAGGATGGATATGTCAACAGCAAAATAGCATTTTACAGGGGATATAAACAGTATACACCAACACAAGGGAAAGAACAGAACTGCCACTTCAGCCTGGTGTGAACAGCTACAAGAGAACTGATACACCATCAAAGCTTAAGCAGTTACCTGAAATCAATGAATCAAAAGGGAGAAAAATAATGAAGACAGACACACGCAAACCCAATCACAAGAAATTCACTCAATGCTGGTATCATCTAACAGTTTCTAGAAAACCAAGGAAATTACCTTAGTAAATTTAGTAGAGTCCACATGCATGAAGCATACAGAGATATTGCTGGAATTTATAATTCACATAACTTTAAATGAAATTAATAAAAAACCTTATACAATCTAAAGAAAATCCTCAATTAAAAGGATTTCTCTCAAATACATTCAGTCCTTCAGAAGAAAATATGTTTGTTCAGACCAAATTACCTTTTATATGGGATATAACAAAATTCATCATTTTAGTGATTTACATCAACATTTGATATTTTAGAAAAACAAGAAAAGATAAAACCTCCCAGACATTTATTACCTCTGAGATGTCATCATCACTAAGCATGTGGATAGGAATATTACTTGACATGCAAGAAACATCAAGGAGAATCCCCCTATTGTTACTGGCATTTGAGGTTTTCTTTATGCCTGAGAAGTAAAGGATCAAGAATTATGAAAATTAACAGAGTCCTGAATCATTTATGGCAAAGATATTTACGGCTCAGATTCAATGCAAATAAGGGTTAGATTAATAACAAAAGATTAATGCAATATTAGAGGAAAAAGATCATCTCTTTACTAATGAAAGATTACCTGTAACTTGCAGGAGCTGAAAAGAAGTCTTTACTGAACAGTTTCCAGACATTCCTTTCACTCTGACAAAACTTCCCAAAACCTTGTCTTCAAAATTATCTGGCTGCATCAACAGCTCCTCTACTAAGCTCCTCCTTAAGTACACAAGTTTGATATTTTCAGCAATTATAGAAGCATAACAACTCTTTTGGACTGCATAGTCCACCTTTTCGTCAAGAGGTACTTTATCCATGCTCAATGTTCTCTGTCTCTTACATTCTGCCATTATCCGTTCATCTTTATTCACTGAACAACTTCCACTATCATTCTCATTTTCATCCAAAATTGATTGTTCAAAAGTATCAGCAAAATGAGCTTCCAAAAGATCATATATCTTGTTCTTTTGCACCAGTTTCTTCTGGAAAAGAGAAAACAGCTTTTCATCACAAAGAACCATCTTCTTCTTCTTTTCCTCACAAAAAAGGTTTTTCTCTAAAATGTATTTTGAGATTATTATATATACTTCACATTGTGATAATTTTTCAGTTGCATCTATACCAACAGATTTCAGAAAATCAATGAGAGGTTTTGAACCCCATCCAACATACTTTCTAACCTGAGATTTCTTTCTTTTGCGAAATGAATTATCTATTGGATCCAAATCTGTATCGGTATCACCATCTGAAAATGTGATTGCAGCATCTTTATAATCAATCTTGTCAGACTCTAAGCCACTGTCATTCTTCCTCTCCAACTGAGCACGATGCAAATCGTCAAATGTCAAGTCTTCGTGTTTCATAATTATCTCCATATAGTCTTTAAACATGAACTCTTCTGTATCTGCATCTCCAAAATCTAGCTTGTCCTGCAGATCAATCCATAAATTTAAAAGCCCATGCTACAAAGAACAAAGAAAAGAGAGAGAGAGAGAGAGAAGACATGCTGCAAACGTTTGTTAATACTGGCAACAAGGTGAACAAGTAGATTGTGAAATTTTCCATCAGAGCCTTGCACCCATCCCTTTTTATCTCTTTTCCAATTCTCTTTCTTTCCTCTTTAATCACCTAAGAATGTTAAATTCTATTTAATTCTCTAAAAAGTGTTTCATGACCTAACAGACTTGCAATATTAGAAAACATAGCATTCAAAAAATTTAAAGGAAGCATGATAAAGCCCCAGAGAAGAAGAAATGTTAGTTATGAATACGTCATTCAGATTGTAACTTGAGTGACATACCCCTTGGGAGTTAAATTCTGCATTTCTTTCTGCAAGTAATGCAAGCTCTAAACATGTTTCACACATTCCTTTGTTCAACTTAACAGGCAAAAACTGAGCTGATCTCACACAGAGCCGACAGACAGCAATAGGGCAGCAAAGGCAATATAGTTGAGCGGGACCAGGGCAGGCAGAACAAGAATGCCTCCCTGAAAACACAAAATTGAGACCAAGGGTTAAAAGGAGGAAAACAATGCTATAATATGATTCTGCCTGCCATTATATATAAATATATGTAGAATCATAGAGAAGGGGAAAATGGAGAAGTCTAAAAGGAATTCAATAGAGTATAACAGTGCATCACAAGTAAATCTAGCAGCTGTCGGCAAAGAGGAAGAAACCCCCCCCCTTGCGCTATTGAAAACTGTTCATAACAATAAAATATGGCAGCACAATCAGGATTAATCAACAACTTATACATGCAAGACATTTTGGATTTGTGCATATCTAACCTGCTAGATTTAGACAAAGGAAAATGGTGTATGCTCTAAAGTATCATTTGAAGTTAAGAGACTTACAGCAGAACCAGCGACCTTCAGACTTCAAAACTGAATTTTTCATTCCCACACATCTGGGATGATAAGCCTTTCCACAACCCCTGGAAACAGAGAACACAGGAATAATATACACATATTATTGGAGAATTAGAATATATACATCCCTCTATTGGCACATTACTTTTACACTTACAAAATTGTCCCTCCTCTGTCAATCATTACAACAACTTCATCATTACTTTTTTTCGTTTTGGTTCATATCTTCACCATTACTTTTCATTTTCCTTTATCCTTTCTTGCTTTCGTTATTTTTCTTTTTATCGATCTTAATTGTTTCCCCTTTTCCAGTTTTTTTACTTTACCCTTTCTTCTCCACTATTTTTCCATTCCAATATTCTTTCTCTAACCATACAAAACAAGAACACAACAAAAACTGGTCCAACTCTGACTTTTACTTAGAACAAAAACAAAAACCAAAACCAACCCAAAAATTATGTTTTAAAAGACCAAAAAAAAAAAAAAAACACATAAAACTACCCAGAAAACGAAAAACGAAAATGAAAACAAACCCTGATATTACCTAAAAATTAAGAGAAAAAACTCACTTGTAATCACAAAGAAGCAACTTCCCACCATCTTTACAAACAAAACACCAATCTTCAGCATCATCTTCTTCGAGCATTTTTTTCTTCCCTTCGTTTTTGTTCATTGCAAAAGCAAAAAAAAAATATTTGTTCTTCTTCTTTCTCTACTTCAAAAACAGTTGCAGAGATTGTTCAAAAGGCTTTTGTCTTTTGAGTAACCAAAAAGTAAAAGTGTGAACATTTTATCCTTTTACCCGAGGAGGATGGAATGGGAAAGAATTCTTCCGGGAAACAACCGTAACGCAATCAAAGTTGCAGTAAATTTTTTCGATCGAGGTAACTTTTTCTTGGCTGGAAGACTATAATCATTAAAACCTACATTTGAAAGTTCATTACTGTCCTTGTTTTACTATTTCTTACGTTTTGTTGTGGTTAAATTTTTAGGATAATTTGGTAAATTTTGGATGTTCTGACACTCAAATTACGGGATCTTCTCTCCGGATATCTATCTTCGCCATAAATGCAAATCTGACAACAGTACTCCGTACATAATTATCAGAACCGATATTAAATCGTTTAATGTCTTGGGTCACCGACTAAATGATTCAATCACAAAATCGAGTCAATTAACGATTTAATAAAAAATATTTTTAAAATATAAATATTTTAAAATTCAATCATAAAATTATAAAGTTTAAAAATATCATAAATTTTAAATTTTAAATTTTAAAAATATAAATTTCTAATTATTAATTAAAAATAAAATTACTTGATATTTTATTAAAATTATATTTTATATTTTAATAATTAAAATAATATTTATATTTTAATAAATAATTATATTTATTAAAATATAAATATTATTTATTAATATATAATAATTAATTTTTACATAATAAAAATATTTATTATATATGAAAATTAATAAAAAATATTTAAAATATTTTTATATTTTTATAAGCAGGTAGATTTTTTTATTAATTTATATATATTATTAATTATTTTTTATCATAGTCAAATAATCAATCACTTTTATTAACATTTTATTTTTATTAATTTTATATATTATTAATTTTATAATTATTTTTAATTATGGTTTCAATTAATAAAATATTTTGTTATATCATTTTTTAAAATTTTTTATTTTTATACATATGTAAGTTTTTTTATAATGTTATTATTTATATGTTTCAAAATATGTTAAGATATCATTAATATAAAGATATAAGAGTTTTAATAGTAAAAATAAGAGTTATGAAACTTGTTTAGATGAAATAATAATATAAAAGTTTAATTAAATTATTTTGAGTATTTGAATGTAAGCCGTTGGATCACAATAATTTAAAGTGATTTAATTATAAAATTAATTTAATTATAAAATCGGATCAATTTCTACATTAATTCACTTATTCAACTTATTAAACTAATGATCTAATCTGATTCTAATAATTATATTTCGTACTTCCTTAAAATTATTACAAGATAAAAATTATGTTTATTATTTATTTCATTTGTATTATTAAATGTTTGGAAGTGAAACTTGATAGCTAATAGTATAGAATTATAATAAAATATTTAGTATAATATTTAAATTATTTAAAAATTTAATATAATATTTAAATTATAAATTAATTAATTTATTTTATTTTATTACTTTTAACGCAATCTTTTTTATTTTTTATTTTTATACCTTTTTAATTTTATTTTTTCTCTTCTAAAATCTCATTATCTTCTTAGAGTTACTCTCTCCTATCTCATCTCTTTATCATTTGCAATTGTTTACAAATTTCATAAAAAGAAACAAACATAACTTTTCAACAGTTGCGTCTACTCAATTTTGAAGAAAGATGAATATAGAGAATAAAAGTTAAAAAAAAAAAACTCGTAAATTAAAAAAAAGTCTAAAATATAACTTACTAAAAAGTACATTTTTTTTCGTAATTTGTCAAAATTTTTAAAAAATTGATGAAAAAATTATTAAAATTTATTATTAAAATTTTTTAAATTATAGAAAAATATAATAAAATTTATTAAACAGTATAATTTTTTATTTGTGTGAATTACAAAAAAAAAATAGAATAAAAAGTAAACATTTTTGGTAATTTTTTTAAAATTACATAAAAGATTGAAATAAATATTAAAGAGTAATTTTGGTCAAAATGCATAAAGGTAATTAAAAAACTTATTAAAGTTTAAATTCTTCTTTTTTTTTACATTAAATTTAACTTTTTTCTAATTTATCAAAATTATTAAAATATCATTTAAAAAATTTATTAGAATGTAACATTCTTTGTAATTTGGCACCAAAAATACATAATTGACACGTGTTAACAAATGAGGCCATGTCTTTAGTCGTGAATTACGAGTACAAAGACGCGAACTTCGCTTCGAAACTTATTTGAATTTAAAAATAATGTTTTTTAATTGTAAAAGATAATTTTAAAAAATTCATTTTCAGAACCTATATGATCTAAATATTAATTTTTAAATGAATAAATGAATTTTAAAAAATTGTCTTTAGAACCTATATAATCTAGATGTAATATTTTTAAATGAGTAAGACAATTAAAAAAAAAGTCTTTGTGTTAATTGTATCACTATGAAACACTTTACTATCATCAAAAAATAATTTCAAATTAAAAAAATAAAATTAAAAGAATTTTTTATTATATAAGTCAAACCACTTTAAAATTAATATATATATATATATATATATATAACTCAACCATAAACCTATAAATCAATATCGAATATTAAATAAGTAAATTCCAATTTTACCATCATCAAAAAATAATTTCAAACTCTCAAAAAATATAAACAAAGAAGAAATTTTCATTAATTTTGTCAAGCCACTTCAAATGTTCAAAAATAAAAAAAAAAGCTAAATATATAAAAGTCAAGTGTAAATCCATAAATCAAATTTTAATATTAAATATATAAATTAAAAATTAAATCAAACTTTACCAAAATAATTTTATATATCTACACATCATACTTATAATTGGACCTAAGTGAAGTTATTCCAAATATACATATCATTATCATAAGAAATGTAATTAACTTTCATTTTAAGGATAGATAGATATATATAATTTTTTTTTTTTGCTAAAACCATTTTTAGAATTTACATGAATAAATATTTAGGGTCTTATTTTCGACAATGACCAATTAAGATATAATGTTATTTTTTATTTGTCCAAACTCAAATTGAGAAGAATTGGTCTAAATTATTTTTTTTATAAAATTGATAATATCTTTAGTTATTTTTAAAGATCAACTAAAATATTATTTATTTATAAAATTATTTATATTAAATGCAGTAGTTGATTTTTAATGTGATTATTTCAATGTATTATAAAAGAATATCTTCATAATTTTTATAAGTTTTGTTATTATGTTAATGAAAACAATAAATTTTCATAATTTTTATTATTTTTTAAATGGGGCTTACTGGCGAAAAAACAGCCGACTTAGGTGTGGAAGAGAACAAGACAAAAAAGCTACGTAGAAACGAAGAAAAAAAATATGTTTTATATAAAGGAAATTGCGATCTCAGGAAAAAAGTTATATATATTGAAATTTGAATTTTTAATTTATTACATATAACTTTTTAAAAATGACTAAATAAATAAATTAAATTAAATTTGAATTAAAAAAATTTGATACATGATAAATAGCAGAAAAAGCAATTTAGAGAAGTAATGATTCATCTAGATAATTCCCCAAATTTCTTTATGAAACCCAATCAATAAAATTAGATCTTGAATTGATCTGATCTGAAGTTGTTTATTCAGCCAGTAAAAAATTTGTATTGCAAATCTTGCAGCTTAAAATTGGGAAAGAAAATTATCTAAGCAAAAAAAAACCGCTACTAATTAATAATTAGAAAATGAATTTGTTTGAATGCTTTTCTTCAAATTGTATGAATTTTGTGTGGAGTCATTGAGCAGAAAGACTTTTATTTTTCAGTTAATTTTAAAGAAAACACTTTCTTGTTTATAATGAAAAAAAATGTTAAATGTGACATACTAGTTTGATAAAATTCAATGAATAATTATATTTTACAAAGGAATTACAAGAAGTTGTAGTTATAAAATCATCACCATCCAAAACATTATTTTTAAATTATTCCAAATAAATGCTTTATCAAAATTGGATATTAATAAAGCTGTTGAGAACGGTACATAATTATATTGTTGTTTATGAAATAAGTAATGAATTTCTTAAATTGAAATTTGCATAAACTTAAAATAATATTTAAATTTACTCTTAAAATTAAAAAAATAACAGGACTTCCTCTTGCAAAAGGTTCTAACGCTTTTTCTAATTTGATTAAGTTGATTTTGATTCACAATTGATTAAAAAAAAATTATTATAATTTTTCGTTCATCTTATTTTTATATGTAAATAAAATATTAGATTCAAATTTCATTATTTGTAAATTTAGCTTAATTTTATGTTGATTTTTCTTTGATTGATTAGCTTAATAATTTTTTTTCCGTGAATGTACTCTTTGATAGTAATTTTATTTTTCTTACTCAGGTCAAATTTATTATTATACTATGGGTCAATATTGAATTTTTTAACTGCACTTCAATTTTGTTGAATCTTTCACTGTACTCACAATTTTATTGAATTTTGGACATACAAAAAATAGCGAAAATTATGAAAATTTATTGTTTTCATTAACATAATATTTCATAAAACATTTTAATTTTATTACTTGTTGTCCAAAAATAATAAAATTGAAAATGCGGTAACAAAATTTGCTATTTATATTAACAAAATATTCCTTTAAATATTATGATTTTCTTAACTCTTTATCCAACAATCAACGAAATTAAAATTATATTGAAAAAAATTCAATAAAACTGAAGTACAATAGCCAAATTCAATATTGAATTATAATATACTGGTAAATTTCACGGGTAACTTTTTTTTTTTTTTAATTTAGAAATGGTAAGATTAGAATTCGAGGTTTTGAGTTGGAGGTAGCATCTATTTATTGATCAACTAAATGTTTGGAAATTGCAGCTTAATTATCCTATTTAATCTTAATTAATCTAATTTCTTTAATCATGGTTAATATATGTAAGAAGTTTTCCGTTTTTCTTATTTAATTCTTCTTTTCTATTGGCATAGTAATTAAGTTAATGTTCTATATTTTTTTTATTTGCTTCATTGGCCGATCTTTATTTTTTTCCCAGACCTTTCATTTTTAAAATCAAATCAAGTCAAGCTTGATCGTCCGTTTAATTATTATTTTATATTAACATTTTAAATATATTTTAAAATTATTTGTTAATAAAATATTTTAATTGAGTCAAATTTAAACTTAAAAATCCATGTCCAACAATCCATGCTGAATGGCGGAAATGAATTTGTTCGAACTTTCTTCTTTGAACCGTATGAATTGGTATGTAGTAATTGACCAGCAAATACTTTCTATTGTTATTTTTGTAGAAAAAAACTTTCCTCATTATAGTTAACGAACTGCTAGTCCTAGTGGTGAAATAAATGGGTTCTACGACTGCTTGCGAACTTGATTCAGTAGTTCCTAATTTACAAGAACTACCACCTTAAAATAAAGTCCTAGTGGAA